GTGCGTGCGCGCGTGCGTGCGTGCGTGCGTGCGTGCGTGCGTGTGTGTGTGTGTGTGTGTGTGTGTGTGTGTGTGTGTGTGTAGTTTAGAATGCTGGTATGCATGCTCATGTCTGCTCATTTAGACACCAGAGGTTTGGCATCTTCCTCTATAACCCTACTGCTTTTTGAGGCAGGGTCTCTCACTTAATCTAGAAGGCTGTTTTGGCTAGAGAACCTAGTCAGGAAGACCCTAAGATCTACCTATTTCCAAACACAGCTCTGAAGTAGCATGTGCCTGCTGCTATGCCCAGATTTTATGCAGATTCTGGGGATCCAAACTCAGGGCCTTTACCCACTAAGTGATCTCCCCATCCCTGAAACATTTTAAGATCATATGTTTGGTTTTTTTCAATTCATTTTAGTATTGCATGTATGTTTCAATTCATTTTAGTATTGTATGTATGTATGCATGTATGTATGTATGTATGTATGTATGTATGTATGTATGTGTAGATGAAAGTATGCATATGTGTGTGCAGTGTATTCAGAGACCAGGGGAGGGAGGCAGATCTCCTAAATCAGGGGTTATAGGGGAGTGTGATCTGCTGGATGTGGATGTAGGCAACAAACCTCCCATCCTCTTTCTAAGCTTCCAGCCACTAAGCCATCTCTCTAGCCCCTGGTTTGTTTGGTTCAGGGATTGTTAGTTTGTTTAGATATCTGTAGAAATTATTTTTCCTTAATATTTCACACAGTGATAAAAGGGAAAATATAATTCTATTTCCCTGGTGGTAACTTCCTTCTGTCTTCCACACTACAATTTATACTAATGTGGAGCCTTCCAACTGCCCTTATATTAAAGCAATTGGCTTCCAATTGATGAAGGGCAGCTGCAAACTAGGCCTTCAGCCAACTTTGCCAAATGACCAAAGGCTGAATGAGGACCAGAGAGATGGCTCAGTAAGGGTGCTTGCTTCCTTGCCCAAGAATCTGAGTTCAATCTCCAGGACGTGCAAGGTAGAAGAGAGAACCAATAGGTTTTCCAGATAGAACAGTGGGATAGCCATGTTTCAAAAGAGAGAGAGGAACATTGAATTAAGTATCATACATTGATCAATAATTAACATAAATGCATAGATTTAAGAGCTAATCTAAAAGGATATAATTTGTACAGAAGCAAACCCACACAGAAGGGCCAGGTAAATAGTCATCAGACTTGACACTGACTGCACAATCCACTGAGAAGGAAAATGGATACAGAAGGAGAGAAGAAGACAGGCAGTACATGGTAGCTAATGGGCTAGCGAGAGGGATTTATATGGTCAATGAGCCACTCTGTACTCTCAGAGTTTGTCACCACCCAAATCTAGACCTGTGAGAAACTGTACCACCTTGTCTAGAAAAAGAAACAGGGACGCTGGGCGTTGGTGGCGCACGCCTTTAATCCCAGCACTTGGGAGGCAGAGGCAGGCGGATCTCTGTGAGTTCGAGGCCAGCCTGGTCTCCAGAGCAAGTGCCAGGATAGGCTCCAAAGCTACACAAAGAAACCCTGTCTCGAAAAACCAAAAAGAAAAAAGGAAAAGAAACAGGGGAACTAAATACCCAGTCTTGCTAGGCAGCACCGGCACATGCCTTTAATCCTAGCACTTGGCAAGCAGAGGCAGGTAAAGGCAGGCAGATCACTGTGTTGGGGCCATCCTGGTCTACAGAGTGAGTTTCAAAAGAATTAGGACTACACAGAGAAAACCTGTCCCTAAAAATCAAAACAAATAAAAGTTTCAATGAGTAAAATAAAAAGTTTGCATTATAAAAAAGGGGGAGGCTTAGCCGGGTGTTGGTGGCGCACACCTTTATTCCCAGCACTCAGAAGGCAGAGGCAGGCGGATCTCTGTGAGTTCGAGACCAGCCTGGTCTACAAGAGCTAGTTCCAGGACAGCCTCCAAAGCCACAGAGAAACCCTGACTCGAAAAACCAAAAAAAAAAGGGGGGGCTTGGTGGGTGGTTCAATGGTTTGGGTGCTTGCTGCTGTTCTGGAGGATTCAAGTTCAGTTCCCAGCACCCATGTCAGGTCCCTCCAACTACTTAGAACACCATCTCCAGAGGATCTCACCCCCTTTTCTGGTCTCCACAGGAACCTACACACATATGACATACACTCATATAGACACACATATATACACATAAATATAAATAACAAAAATGAATCTTCAAATATTTTTAAATAAAAATAGTTACCTACCCGCCGGTTTGTGAAGACAGAATAGCATTCCTTCACTAGTACATTCTTGATCATCTCTGTGTCTGTGACAGAAAACAGCGGTGTTTGACCATCAAACAACCTGTGTGGGGGAAACAGCTGATTAACCGGGGCCAGGTTCTGAAATGGGAGCCCAAATCCAGACTTTGATTCTCATGTTAAGTGACCCTCACTCTGATTTTATAGTACATTGTCACAGGAGGTCAGTCTAGCTTAGGGGGTAGGACAACAGATACAGTGGAGTCTTTGTACAGTGACAGATAATGTCATTCAAGACTCAGTGGGTCACTTAAAGACAAAACGGTTCCAAAAGACATTATAATTAGAAATCACAAGTGATTTTAAATCTAGATGTGAATATGTGAGAGTTGCCTATACCTTTTTCTGTGATTCTTGCACATTTAAAATATCACAAGGGGCTGGAGAGATGGTGCCATGGTTAAGAGTACAAATTGTTCCTGCAGAGGACCTGAGTTTCTGATGAGTGGTTCACAACCACCTGCAACTCCAGCTCCAGGGGGACCCAATGCCTTTGGCCTCCATGATCATCTGAACTCATGCGCAGGGACATGCATACATGCACATACGCATAATTAAAAGCAACAAAAATAGATTTTCAAAAATTAAATGTTAAAGTAAAAATTCATAATTTTTACTTTGCTTAAGATAAAACATAAAGTTAAATATTTTAAAGTAAAATAAATCCTTTAACATTTAAAATTTAAATTATAAACTCAATCTTAAAAATAAAATATTTCAGTATCTGGGCTTGGGATGTAGCTTGGCAGAAGAACGACTGCCCAGAGTACACCAGGCACTGGTTTTGATACACTGAGTTGAAAAAGAAATGAACAAACAGAATTTATATGAGGCACCCACACCAACTTCTCTGAAGTTCAGAAAGAACATGAGAGCCATGAAATGGAGAGGAGAGCGGCAAAACGCTGTCTTCCATACTCTGGAACTCCCTGCAGCTAGGATTGCTTCCACAGGGCTGTGGGTGATTTGACTGTCAATGTTCCAGCAGGATGCTCAAGATCCTGAGCCTGCCTGAGAATTTACACATGGCTAGCTCCTGGGATGGGAAAGCAAAATGGCCCAATGAACACCGGTTCAATCCCTGGTATCTACAAGGTGGGATGAGAGAACTGACTGTCACACGTTGTTGCCTGACCTTTACATGTGTGCCATGGACACATGTCCCTCTCAGATACATAAACACATATAATAAAAAATCAAAAGGAAAGTAGCTGCTGGAGGAGGGCAATCAGTCTGTGTCAGTGGTGACCCACTGGCTGGTAAGTTGCTTACACTCCTGTAAATAAGCTCTCATTTGCTAATGCTTCTGTAAGTCCAATTAAATTAATTCACACACACACACACACACACACACACACACACACACCACAAAACTAATAAAAATGTAAGCAAAATGTTTGCATAAAAATGATATTAGGGCCAGGCATAGTGGCACATGCTTTTATTCCCAGCACTTGGAAGGCAAAAGCAGTCATATCTGTGAGTTCAAGGCAAGACTTGTCTACATATCAAGTTCTGAGACAGCCAGGGACATATAAAGAGATCCTGTCCCAAATCAATCAATCAATAAACAATAAATGCATAAATAAATAAAAGACACTAGGTCAGTGAAACATTGAAAAAAAAAACACAGTGAAGTGCCGAGAAGCAATTATATTGCAAGGAGATGTGCACATGGGGCCATTGGACAGAGTGCAAAGCCTGCTGTTGGCATTGGTGACATGTTCTTATGGGCTGTGTCAACTTGGAAGTCCTATGCTCAGACCTGTGCTTCCTAAGGATGGATGAGAAGAGATGATGAGGCAGGAAGAGCCAGAGCCTCCTCCTCCTTGTTTGTGTCTCATAGCATATGAGGACAATGACTCTAAAGTCTAACCAAATCCCAGCATCAATGATAGGGAACAATTACTACTGCTGGCTCAACCACTTTACAGAACCATTAAGGACATAGATCCAAGGAAGAACACTTTGGGTTTTAAATACATTAGATCTCCAAAGTCAGTTCAATTAGACAAGACTCAATGAAAAGCACTTCTATCAAAAGTCTTCGCAGGGGATGGTGGTCGCTCACACCTTTAATTCCAGAACTCAAGAGGCTGAGGCAGGTGGATCTCTGGGAGTGCAAGACTAGTCTGGTCTACAAAACAAGTTCCAGGAAAGCCAAGGTTATTACAGAGAGAAACCCTGTCTGGAAGTAGAGAACCAATTCCCACAAGTTTCCTGGGACCTACATATGTGTATCATAGCACATGTCCCTCTTCCAGGAAGAGAAAAACCACCCCTGGCTTGAATTAAAACATAAACAACAAAATCTCTACATTTTCAAAGAAATATTTTATACTAAGCATAAATCATTTACCAAGTCCTTAGCTATGACCTCCCATGCTTTCAAAGGACATGTTAAAGTCAACATTGGGGGGGGGGGGAGTATGAGCTGAAGGGCTTCTAAAGGGAAATGAGTGAATGTGGCAAGGAGATGGTATCACACATGTGTGTAACCCAGGCTGGCCTTGAACTCATGACCCTCCTGCCTCTGAATCATTCAGTAAATCCTACCAGCATGTGCTACAACAACTATCAGTATCAAGCATTTGTTAGAACAGATTAGAGGGATATGAAACAGTGCATTTCGTGTAATGAAAAGGAAGTTTCAGAAGAGAAAAAAATTAAGATGAGACCACTGGATAAAATGCAAGGCCCTGCTAGGCATGGTGGCCCATGTCTTCAGTCCCAGTACTCAGAGGCAGAGGCAAGAAGATTTCTGTGACTTTGAGGCCAGTTTGGTCTACAAAGTGACTTCCAGGACAGCCAGGACTATTACACAGAGAAACCCTATCTCAAAAACATAGTAAAATAAAAAATACTACTTGGCCCAGAGTCCATGGAACATCAAAGCCTGTTCAAAAGCCTCAGTATGCAATGTTCCCCAGATAATTAGACCTGTGAACCATGGCACTCATGACACCTGCCATGACCTTTACAACAGAGAGGTGTATTACTACAATGCTGGGCAGGCATTGTTTTTGCACAAGTGGATCTCATCCTCCTAAAAAGTCAACTCCATGGAACTCTCCAGAATACTCACCCCCATATTTTTCCATACTTTTTACGGCACTCAATATCAAATTTCCATACACCCTAGAAAGAAAAATAGCACGAAATCCATTATTGTCCTATATGTACCAACCCTTCAGTAATAAGGGAACAGAACCCTCAAATCCCATGAATTGAGGGTTACTGTTTCTGACAGAGAAAAGTTCCACAGTAACATTTAGTGGCACCAGCATGAAGGCTCAGTGGGAAAAGGCAGAGTGATAGAGGAGGACATGTGACACCTTCCTGTGGCCTTTGCATGCACAGTCATAGACTCACACACATGTGCAGAGCACCAGATACACACCCCACACACATAATGATGATGATGATGATGATGATGATGATGATGATGATGATGATAAATTGTTTTAGAGAATGTGTGAGGGAAGCATAGAAACTTTAGGAAGAAAACCTGAGTGACAACAGCCCACGCTTTGCCACTCTCCCTCTGGATGTGAGCTTGGGAATGTCTGCCATGGACTGACCTTGGCCAAGGGTCAAAGCAGGTTTGTCACAAATGATCCACCTAGACTTAAATGTGGCATATTACATACTCATTCCTGAACTTTCTAATAATTTTTGTTAAATCGTCCTTTCCCTAATAAGTTTGCCTTTGTCAAATCTTGAACAGGAACTACAAAATGCATTGTGAAGTCAAGTGTCTGAGGTGACTGACAGTTGTCATCCTGTCTCAGGTATTCACACTCGCTGCTCAGACTCATGCCCAGGATGATGCCTTTAAATGAAGAGAATCAGCTGTAGGTACATTTCAACAGTAGAGCACTTGCCTGGCATGTAGAAGACCCTGGATTACATTCTTAGCCCCACAAAAACAAAACAGAAGTGAAAATCTGTCATTAGGGCTTGAGATGTGATTCTGAAGATAAGAATACTGGCTGATCTTGCTGACGGTCCAAGTTCTGTCCCCAGCATCCACATCCAACATCTCACAACCATGTGTAACTCTGCCTTCAGGAAATCCAATGCCATCTTCTGGCCTTTGTAGGAACTACACTCATAGCAGTGTGCACAAACCCACACATATATGAATAAAATCTTTTTAAAAGAATCAATCATTAACCAAGCTCTCCATTCCAAAAGGAAGAGTAAAGCAAGATACTCTAGTTCTCAAGAATCCAGACATGCCATGAATAGTCAATGATGGGGATACAGCCAAGGAAATAACTTCAGGGGTTTAATGATCATTTAGAGAACCTAAGTAAATAAAATGTCCCCAAATGTGTAGGTAAGCCTGTGATAAGCTGATGCTTCAGAAATATTCAGCAAAAGAGAAAATTTTGCTCATGAGCCTTGATACAAGGAGGAGAATTTTAATCTAGTGCATAGAGAATGATGTTCTAGAAACCACGTCAAGAGTTTCTTCAAATAAGTACAGCAGTACCATGTCAGAGTCTGCACTAGGTAAGAAACAAAATTCTTTTTTGCTCATAAATTTTGAGCAACACATCCTCAGTATCAAGGTAAAAATGGGTTGGAGACATGGACATTTCATCTAAGGTAAACTTGAGGCTGAATAAACTGATATCAGGACCAGTGAGATGGCTCCAAATGAGATGGCACTTCCCACAAAGCCTGATAACCTGAGATTCATCCCTAGGACTCATATGGTGGAAAGAGAAAACTGACTCCCACAAGTTGTCCTTTGACCTGTATGTGTATGTTGTGACACACACACACACAGTCACCCCAAAATAAATAAATATGGGGTAAAGTTGAAGATGGAAGCTGTGAAGATGGTTCTTTGGGAAAAGCACACCCTACAAACCAGAGTTTGAATCTCCAGTATCTGTGTAAATTCCAGATAGGGGTAAAGCCCTACATAGTCCCCACTTGGAGGAGGCAGAGGCAAGGGATCCTTGGAGCAAGGTGGCCAGCTAGACAAGTCAAGTTGGAGAGCTGGGTTCAAGTGAGAGACTCTGCCTCAAAGTATAAAGTGAAGAGCAATCAAGAAGACACCCAGTATCCACCTCTGGCCTCCCCAAGCACACACATATCCATATGCATATGCGTCTGTGCACATATGGTGACTCACACAATGCAAATACATGCATACATACAATAAACACACACACATGCACATTTGATAGTTTTAAGTGGGCTTAAGATCCCCAAGGAATGACTGGACATTCTCTAGTATCATGAGAACACACTATATGAAGGCCTGAAGTCTCAGAGCTTCCTCCCAGGGAACACTTAATAGTACTAAACCATTATTGGCCATCAGGGAAGCACTATGGTTAGTTCAATTAACACTCACCTTGTAGTAACTCAGTAGAGTTCCTAAAAACGGCAGAGGTTTGGGCCCAGGAATTCCCTGTTTCTTAAAAATGTCATGTTTATGGGTCCCAAGTCTGTAAAGTAAAACAGAAGGCCTTGTTATCACATATACAGAAGACAGGAGACAAACATGATCAAAACTAAAAAATGAAGTAAACCAACATTTAATAACAACATGTAATTTTAAAATGTTTCTAAAAGAGTTCATTTAAACTTCTGCTATCACTTCCAAAGTTTTATTCTAGTGCCTGTGGATGGCATCAGATCCTCTGGAACTGTAGATACAGATGGTTGGGAGCCACATGCGGATGGTGGGATTCCAACTTGGGTCCTGTCGAAGAGCAGTCAGTGCTCTTAACCACTGAGACACCTCTCCAGCCCCTGCTTCTGATATTGCTTTTGACCTTGCAGACAATTCCAGAATATAGGTCTGAGTATAACCCAATCCAATGGCACAGTGGGGAGGGACTTTGGTGGTTCCTCACCTGTATAGGAGCACCAGACTGATGGCCAGGAGGACCCAGGTTTCCAGTGAGAGAACTGAAGTCAGGTCCATCGCCGCTTCTCTGTCAGGAATGTACCCCTGTGTGTTCTCCTCCAGCTGTGTGTGGCACCCTTTGCAGGGCTTTCCTTCTTGTCAACAGTGCTGAAGTGTGCCCAGCCTGCACATTTATAATCTGGGAAGATGGGCGGGTTCAGGGCTCCATCCATCTGGACTTTGATATTCTCTAGACTTTGGCAGATCATAAAGTTCATGCACAGCCTAATTTGACCTCCTGTGAGTTAATATTCTGTGCAGAATCAATAAAAATTGTGCCCATTTCAGAAAACCAAAGGTTCTTCCTTTTTTATCAAAACTTCAAATAAATTCATTGACATGTAATGCCCTCTCACCAAACTTGGCTCCATTCAAAAGCACATGAAATTAGGCCCAAATTAGGCCATCTGAATGCAGATATTTACAGAATGCCATTGTCCATTGCAGAAATATATTTTGTCATTTTTGACAATTCAGCTCAGCAAAACAATAGCAGTCTGTTAGATTTTGTCCTCACCTGTGTCCATAACAAATAAAGTCACTTCTCCTATGATATGACTACCACACATTCATCATCTCCCTATAGTCTGCCACTGAGGGTCTCCTGTATGTTCCCCTTATTAGACTCAGAATCTATTATGGGCAGTAGTCACCACTATGTTTGAGTTGGCTGAGTCTGTTGGGTCTAGGAGGTTGCAATAGATGAGTTGCTCTGCACAGTTCAATGAGGCCATGTTTTATAGAGGGCAGAACTGATACTCAAGGCTGCAAGTAGCCCTGACAACTCTGGGTCACAACAAAAGACTGTATAGAAAGCTAATATGAACTGTGGAGGGGCAAATAATCTGGTCAATTGTTTGTAAATGTTGGGGAAGTTTTTCTGGAGTGATGAAAATGTTCTAAAATAATCACTGACTCCATAGGTTCTGTAGAACCACATTTAAAACAATTGAAAATCACACTGTAAATGGGTAAATCAGGCAGTGTGTGAATTATGCATACCAATAGCTGTTGCATTGTTTAAAGTCTTTATTTTTATCTGAGACCACTGATGTTTATTTGATTGTACATTTGAGAGAAAAGAATCTAGGAGGAGTGATAAGAATCTGACCGTAGAGTGACAATTTACCAGTCACAAAACCCACGCTCCATCCTCAGCACCATGTAATTGGTAGTGCACCTCTGTAATCCCAGAGCTCAGGGAGCAGAGTCAGGGGGATCCGATGTTCAGAGAGAAAGTTCAAAGCTACAGAGAGTTTGAGCCCAGCCTAGGGAATATGAAACGCCAACACTGAGAAAGAGAAATAACAACAAACCAAATTCCTCTACTCCTTCCATTCACCAAAATTCAACACTTGCCACTCCATGACAATAGTCGTCATGAAAAAGAGACAAACCTTACCACTTACTGCTGAACTATGGGCACCCTAACATGTTCTCGGAGAGAAGAAGACATTGTATTCAGCTGTGTGCCCAGTGATGACTGGTGAGCCCACAATCGATAATGAAGAGTTCTAAACCCACAGTCACACAGATGGCACTGGTAAAAGCTGCAGGACACGAAACAAATCCCAAATATGGGAAAGAGATTTGCAGGGAAGATGTGAGGCTGACAAGGATGGGAGAGAAATAGGAGAGTGTTACGATAAATCTTTCTGCCAAAAGCCACTAAGCTCCACTGCCACATGAGCGCTTTACGCCAGCCTCCCGCCCGAGTTAGGCCCAAATGAATACACAGAAACTTGTATTAGGTTCAAAGTTGCTTGGCCAATGACTAGGATTCCTCATCTGTTAGCTCAGTCTTAATTATCATAAATCTATACATTTTATAAGACTTATCTTATCAGATGCCTTATTGGTGTCCCTCCTTGCCGGTGGATCACATTGTGCCACTAGAGCAGGAGTGGAGGGGAAAAAGGGCCCCTTCCTGTTTCTCCTTTGCTTAAATATGAGTCTCCTTGCTATGTCACTTCCTGCCTTGATCACCACTTCTCTACTACATTTCCCAGAATCCTCTTTGACTCCTAGTCCCATCTAACTTGCTGTCTCATTGGCCAAACAGTATTTTATTTAACAATCAATAAGATAAACATAAACAGTACATTCCCCATCAGGAGAGAATGGGGAAAATTAGCCAGAATGCATCACATACGTGTATACATTTGTCACACAACAAAATGTGTTATTTAAAATAAGTACAGTATGGTACTCTGGGTTGGGGTGTGGCCCAGTTGAGAGATACTTGCCTAGTACACACCGAGCCTGGGCTGGATCATCAACACCACATGACAGGGCCTGGTGGTGTTTCTAATCCATGCACTCCAGAGGTAGACACTGGAAGACCAGAGGTTCAAGGCCATTCTTGAATACATAGCAGTTTGAGGCTAACTTGGGCTACAGTGTGAAACCCTGTATTTAAAAAAAAAAGTACATGGCTCTTCAATAAGAAAATCAGTAGATGAGGGACTCCAGGTGTTTGGGAACATTCCTTTAGTATACAGTATTGCATCTGCAAGTTTTCTTTATATACAATTCCATTCTATGGAAGTAAACAGCACAAATACTGCCTGGGATGGAGCTCATTGGTAGAGCACATGAACAGCATACATGGTGTCCTAGATACCATCCCTTTCAGCAGGGGGAAATCCAAAATCCACCTTGCTGAGCCTGCACTGTAATACTTTGGGTGGGTGAGATGGCTCAGCTGGTAAAGGGGCTTGCTCTCAAAATCTGATGGCCTGAGTCTGACCCCATGGAATCACATGGTAGGGGAGAATCAACTCTTACAGGATGTCTTCTGGCCAACACATGCATGCCATACACAGACACAGACACAGACACACACACACACACACACACACACACACACACACACACACACACACACACATACTACATTTAATAGAAAAATTTAAATAGTAGTAAGTTCATGTATTCTGTTATTTCCCCTATTAAGGGGAATGTGTACATGTCCTACACATTGACCAGGTGATGGTTGTTGGCATGGATTGCAAGCACTCTGGCCATGCCCTGTTATGAGCTGAGCAGGTAGGTGACCATGAAACTTCCTGATGGATCTGTTGTTTTCATGTATTCAAAGGAAAAGAGACCGAATGGAAGGAAAGTATGAGTGACCAGCAGTCAGACCAAGAAATCAGACCATCTCAGCCAATGTGTGTCTCTAGAGGAAGATCAGAAAGAATTTTCACAGGACACTGGCTTCTAAAAAGAACCAGGAACATCGGGTTCAGACGAACATGTTAAGCTGTAGGAAGAGTAATCCCCAGAGGGTCGAGAAGGCATCAGGATCCTAGATGTCTCAAGTATGGCAGAATAGGACATATTAGGAGTAATTGTAGGCAAAGCAATTCCAACAATGTCTCATATACAAGGCCTCCACCTTCTGGATTATGTAGGAGATATGGTAAGGGCAGACACTGAACCAATGAATGTAGATCGACCACAGACATACAAGGAAACCCGTTACAATCGGGAAACTCCTTGAGAGGACTCTCAAAGGCCCCCACATTGAGAAAGGTCCTGTCATTCCCAGTCACTGTGAAGGAAAATCTCTCACAGGATGAATAGATAGTACATTGCCTATTGTAAAGAATGGTACCACTCTAGATGGTAGTTTGGCTAGTGATGAGGAATCAAACATGACTGGAGAAGACAAAAAAAAAAAAAACGCATATTTTGCAAACTTCTATAAAGGATCAGAGGCCTCAGTTGAAAGTAAGAAAAATAATAAAGTTATTACTAGTTTGGTGGACACTGGGGTGGACGTGACTATTATAACTCAAAAGTCCTGGCCCCAGAGATGGCCTTTAAAAGAGGCGAAGGAAGCCAAGGGTTTGCTCGCCGGATCCAAGATCGGCAGCAGGACCTGACACACCCAGACACTGCTGAGGCCCCAGTGGAAGTTCTGCCTCCATCCACGACAAGAGAACAGACATCAGAGTATTGGAACTGTTTGCATCTACCAGAACAGAACCTTGGTCCCATACCCACCAGAAGAAAAAGAAACTCCTGCTACACCCACCAGAAGAAAGGATGAGAAGAGGTCAAGGTAAAAACACATTCAACAACAGAAAATCCAATATGACAGCACCAGAGACTAGGTACCATACACCAGCAAGACCTGAATATCACAGTGCAAATGAAGCAGAAGAGAATGACCTTAAAAACATATTCATGAAAATGATAGAGGACCTCAAAGAGGACATGAGAAAATCCCTTAAAGAAATGGAAGAAAAAACAAACCAAAAAATACAAGATATCAACAAATCTCTCAAGGAAAAAGTTCAAGAGCTGAAAACTGAAATAGAGACAATAAAGAAAGCACAATCTGAGGGAATACTGGAAATATAAAAGCTGGGTAAACTTTCAGGAACAACAGACTTAAGCATAACCAACAGAATACAAGAAATGGAAGAGAGAATCTCAGGAGTTGAAGACACACTAGCAGAAATAGAATCATCAACCAAAGAAAATCTTAAGTCCAACAAATCCCTAACACAAAATATTCAGGAAATATGGGGTACCGTGAAAAAGCCAAACCTAAGAATAATAGGTATAGAAGAAGGTGAAGAAATACAACCCAAAGACACAGAAAACACATTCAACAAAATCACAGAAGAAAACTTTCCCAACCTAAAGTAAGACTTGCCAATAAAAACACAAGAAGGCTACAGAACACCAAATAGGCTGAACCAAAATAAAAGGTCTCCTCGCCACATAATAATCAAAACACCAAACATACAGAACAAATAGAAAATATTAAGAGCAGAAAAGGAAAAAGGTCAAGTAACTTATAAAGGCAAACCAATCAGAATTACACCTGACTTTTCCATGGAAACTCTGAAAGCCAGCAGGTCCTGGATAGATATTCTACCTACACTAAGAGACCATGGATGCCAG